TTCTAAGCATATTAGATACATACTTACGTCAACGTTTTATATACAACTTGTGTCAACATAAGGGTTATACTTTTTTTTTAAGATAATCTTTGGAGAAAGAGGGCTTGGAAATCTATCAATTTCCTGATAATCTGCAGGCCGCTCTAGCATAGAGTGCTTTTTTGGGAATAACAAAATGTCACCTGCTCCAAATGGGTGAGTACAAGAAGCTGTGCTCTCCTCCAGGCTAAGGCAGTGCTGCATCGAGGCTCATGCGTGGCCCTGGATTGGATCCCGGGTACAGGCACAGATGACACACTCACAAAGTAAAAGCTTGACAACCTGTGCATCCTAGTTTGTTTGAATTTGGGGATATGAAAGGGCAATAGAAATATACCCATTGTTTTAGGCAGTGTTTTAGGGGGCAGCTCCTTAGGGCAGAAGTTCTTAAGGATGAGCCTGAATGAGAATTAACTAAAAAGATATTTTAAAACTTAGGTGCATGATCTTCAAACCAAGGAATTTCTACTTAGGGTATCTGGGGTAAGGACTAGACACGTGCATCTTAAAAATGCTCCCTGTGATATGCTGATGCCCAGTCCCGACTGCATTAATTATTTCCCTGGCCAGCTTACTGAGATCACTTGATATCTCTCTTTCCCTCCTTCCTTGAGTTTGTTGGGTTCCATAAAATGCGGTGAGTAATAGCTTTCTGAGACACCCCTTCTTTCTCCCTAGGAACCCACTCTTCAGTAATCCCTCCCTCCTCTGAATTCTTTTAGCACTTTATCTTGCTCATGCAACACTCATCACCATATCCTGTGCAATAGTTATTTATGAACATGTCTTATCTTCCAACACGTAAGACCCCAAAAGGCTGAGACTCTGCGACATCCAGAGGTCACCCACTGGAGCCCTCGGATTGCTTTGTGCCTGCGTGTGCAGGCATATTTTACTTGGCTTTGCAGCATGTTTGAAACTTTTCTGATACTTGCCAGCATTTAAAAATGAGGAGCTATTCCCCCTACTCTCCAATTCTCCCCTAAATAGAATGACCATTGTGCAATGATGTTTCAGTTAAAATATTTGAAGACCTGTCAACATGGGCCCCACATTCCTGAGATTGCTACTGTTGAGTGGAGCTGAGCAGCAGTTTTCCCTTTCATCCTGGGGTGGTGTTCTTCAGTTCACAGTAGGCTCCACCACCCTGTTGTCTTACTGGGCTGCTGTGTCATTAACATTCTCCTCCTGGCACTTGCTGGACATTTGAATTTATAACCCCATTAAGTACTTCTGATTTCTACACAGTATCCAGTTTTTTCTAGGGGCTTCATAGATATTTTTCAAATGGCAAAACCAAAGTTTAAATACTCCAGGGGATGGGCACTTAAGTTCACGGCTTTCTCTAAACTGCCAGATATGAGTTCATACGAACAAAAAAATGTCTATTAGATTTTGTATTGTGGCTTTCCCCAGTTAAGAATTATCAGCTAGTTCCTCATTTTCAAGAGCTTTATCTAAATCTCTTTACTCCTCGGCTGCCAAATGGCTAAGCCATCGTCCTCAAGCTGGAGGAAATGATACTAAACTTGGGAATTTCAGTGACTAGGTTGTCCTTAACCAGTCTCTCTGAATTTTTGTGTTATAGCTTGTTATTCATCAAGGCTTTCAAAGTTGGCTTCATGTAACTCTCCACTGGAAAGTCCCTTGGGGAAAAAGTTTTTGTCTGGAAATACTCCTTTTTTTGACTGCCAGGATAATCATCACTTTTTTAGTAGGAGATATAAATAGAAGAGTGCTTTCAGCACTGATTTCTGAAATTTAAACTCATCTCCTCAGTTGTCTAATTAAAATCCCTCAATGGCCTCCATCCCCATATCCTTAAGTCTAGAATGTAAACCAGTCACAAAAATTTTAGGAGACATGTGAGATAGTTTTAAATTTCATTTGTCTTTATATGTTGTGGTTATTTGCTATTAATGATAAATATTACGGTTTTTTCCTCTGTATCATACAGCGATAATATTTCCCTTAGAAATACTTTAAGTATAACATTAAATTTATTGTAAGAAAAAGAAGGAAATAATAGACTGGTTAGAACCAAGATAGGGCAGAAGTGCTAAAGTTGCTCCGCGTGTGACACTTGTTTGGAAAACGCTGAACTTTCAGGTAAAGCCTCAGGCCCTCCCTTCACAGGGCACCACCCTCTCTTTGACCTCAGCTCTCCCTTTCCAGCGTACATCCTAATGTAACAGGAACTTTTTATAGTTCCTCAAATACACTGGGTGATTTCCCAGCTTTTCACAATGGTTTCACAAATGCTAGGTCTTCTTCCTGCAGAGCATTTGCTGTGCCTTCCTCTGAGTATCCCCGCTCCCACTGCCCACCTCAGCCCTTCCTTCACCCATCTGGCGTATGTGCCTGGCTCCCTCTCATCCTTCAGTCGCAGCTGCAATGCTGCCTCTTTAGAGAGGATCTCCTGGACCACCCTATAGGAGATGGGTCTTGTGTCCTGTTTCATATTACAGCATCCTGCCTCCTTCTGCAAGATTGTGTTCTTACCACAATCTGCTAATCTTTTAAAATGTATTTATTCTCACTATGCAGCCATAAAAAGGAACAAGATCATGTCCTTTGCAGGGGCAAGGATGGAGCTGGAAGCTGTTATCCTCAGAAAACTAATGCAGGAACAGAAAACCAAACACCCCATGTTCTCACAAGTGGGAGCTGAACAATGCAAACACATAGACACAGAGGGGGAAACAACAAACTGGAGCCAGTCTGGGCAGGGTGCGGGGGGAGGGAGAGAATCAGGAAAAATAGCTAATGCATGATGGGCTTAATATTATACTTAGGTGATGGGTTGATAGGTGCAGCAAACCACCATGACACATGTCTACCTGTGTAACAAACCTGCACATCCTGTACATGTACCTCAAAACTGAAAATAAAATTTTTAAAAAATGTATTTATTCTCTTTATTATTTTATGTATCTCTCACTGCATTGTGAGTTCCTTGAGAACAGAGCCCTTGTGTCCTGTTCATTGCTATACTTCCAATGGCCAGCAGAGTGCTGGGCAATGTGGGTGCTCAGTAGATAACTGATGAATGAGTGAATGTTCTTCCTCGCCTTGTACCTTGGTGGGTTCCCTCTCATCCTTCAAGGCCCATCCAGTGCACGAGCTGCTCCTCTGAGAAGACTTCCTGCCCCTTCCTCAGCCGACATAGGTAGTCACTCTCCTTTGGGTCCACAAATCATCATCTACATGCCACCATTATAGTATCAAATGCAATGATAAAGGTCTCTTTGCCCCACAAGACCATGAACTTCTTGAATACCCAGCCCTTCCCAATCTGCCCATATACACAGCATCTAGTGTTCATCCTCTTTTTTTTTTTTTTTGTAACTTTTAGGGGTACAGGTGCAGGTTGGTCCTACGGATAAATCGCATGTTGCAGGAGTTTGGTTGCAGGATATTATTTTATCACCCAGGTAGTAAGCATAGTATCCAATAGGTAGTTTTTCAATCCTCACCCTCCACCCTCAAGGAGTCCCTGGTGTCTATTGTTCCCTTCTTTGTGTCTGTGTGTACTCAATGTTTAGCTCCCACTTATAAGTGAGAACTTGTGGTGTTTGGTTTTCTGTACCCATGTTATTTTGCTGAGGATAAAGACCTCCAGCCCCATCCATGTTGCTGCAAAAGACACCATCTCCTTTTTATGGTTGCATAGTATTCCATGGTGTATATGCACCACATTTTCTTTTAACTTTTATTTTAGGTATAGATGTGCATGTGCAGGTTTGTTTTACAGGTAAACTCATGTCATGGAGCTTTGGTGTACAGATTATTTTTTCACACCCGTGTAGTAAGCATAGTACCTGATAGGCATTTTTTCTGGTCCTCTCCTTCCTCCCACCCTCTACCCTCAAATAGGCCCCAGTGTCTGTTGTTCCACTCTTTATGCCCATGTGATCTTGTTATTTAGCTCCCACTTATAAGTGAGAACATGTGGTATCTGGTTTTCTGTTCCTGCATTAGTTTGCTAAGGATAATGGTCTCTAGTTCCAGCCACATTGCTGCAAAGGACATGATTTCATTCTTTTTTTTTATGGCTGCCTAGTAGTCCATGGTGTATCTGTACCACATTTTCTTTATCTAGTCTACCATTGATGGACATTTAGGTTGTTCCTATCCTTACTATTGTGAATAGCCCTACTGTATCTAGCTTTATTAAAGATACTTTCCATAAACAATCGTGGTATTTCAGGCAGGACATGGGCAGACCGTCGTTAACAGTTTACAACAACTTTCAAACTCCCTTCTTTGAGGAACTACCACAAATCAGAAGCCACTATAAAACCCAAGGCAGTCTTCATCTGATGCTCTGAACAGGGAAAGTTTGGAGTGAGGGTTGACATTTTACATTTAGCATGTTGTTTAACAACTTTTCGCAAGCTGACCCTGACTTTCAGGAAGTGAAATGAAAACTGCAGAATTTCTCTGAAGATCCACAATCTAGAAATGGAACCACTGCTCTTGCCAGGTGCCATCTCAGTGGGATCACTGGAAAGTCCACATTGCCTGACACACTGGTAACCAATGACTGGGGGTCAGGTCCCAGCAGATGTCTGGGCTCAAGTGATTTAAGTCTATGCTAAAAGACGGAAAGGGAGAAAAGCACACAAAAATGAATTTGTTTCTCCGTACCACAAGGCTTTTGTGTGCCAAAGTGGCCATGTGTGTCAAAGTCAGGGAATCTCTCCTCCTGGGAGCCAAGAGGAAGTCTCTCAAAACTGGAAGGAAAAGGTGTTTCCCCACATCAATCCAGCTTTGGAGACATTCTATTAGTCACATATGCTCCTTTCCCCAAACAACAGTGAAGTGTTCTGTGTGCTGACAACATAGCTTTTAAAAAAAAAGGTAAAACAAAATTCTGCATTTTTATAAAACTTGATAAAAAATAGTGCTTCCAACGGTACAGTCACCAGAAGTACACAGTTATCAAAAATGCACACACTTCACTCGGCATCTCCAGCACCTTCGGCTTTCTGTGCCCGGTCCGTTTTGGCATCTCCATTTTCTGCAAGGTTATTCCCTTCCTTGCCAGCATTAGCTTTTCCCTTTTTCCCTTTGGGTACCTTCCCTCCCTTCTTTGCAGGGGCCTTTTCAGGCTTGGGCTCTGGCTTTGGAGGAGCAAGTTGAGCAGATAACCTCGAAGATCTTCTCTGTTGTTCGTCCTTCCCCTTGGCTTTCTCTCCTTTAGCATCCCCTTCAGCCTTTCCCTTGGGCATGCTGGCGGCCGGACGTAGCCGCTGGGCGAGGGACGCTGCGGTTCGCAGGCTCTGGTCGGTCCGAGGGTCATTTTGTTCTTCTTCATGCTGTTCATATGAATGTCTTTACGGTGGAATAATTTATGTTCCTTTTGGGTATATATATGATAATAGCATTGCTGGGTCGAATGGTAATTCTATTTTTATTTAATAGTTCTTTGAGGAATGGCCACACTGCTTTCCACACTGCTTACACACAATAGTGTGCAAGCATTCCCTTCTCTCTGCAGTCTCACCAACGTATATTTTTTTTCTATTTTTAATGATAGCCATTCTGGTTGGCGTTAGACAGTATATCTCATTGCAGTTTTGATTTGCATTTGTCAAATGATTAGTGATGTAAAGCATTCTTCCATATGCTTGTTGGTCATGTATATGTCTTCTTTGAAAAAATGTCTGTTAATGTCCTTCACCCTTATTAATGGGGTTGTTTATTTTCTGCTTATTAAGTGTTTTATAGATACTGGATATTAGAACTTTGCAGATGCATAGCTTGCAAATATTTTCTGACATTCTGTGGGCTCTTAAGTCTGTGATAGTTTCTCTTGCTCTGCAGAAGTTCTTAGTTTAATTAGGTTCCATTTGTCAATTTCTGTTTTTGTTGCAATTGCTTTTGGCATCTTCATCATAAAATTTTTGCCAGGGCCTATGTCTAGAATGGTATTTCCTATGTTTTCTTCAAGAGTTTTTATAGTCTTAGGTTTTACATGTAAATATTTCATCTGTCTTGAGTTTAATTTTTATATGGTGTAAGGAAGGTGTCTAGTTTCAATCTTCTGCACATGTCTAGCCAATTTTCCCAGCACCATTTATTGAATAGGGAGTCCTTTTCCCATTGCTTGTTTTTGTCAACTTTGTCAAAGATCAGATGACTGTACGTGTGTGGATTTATTTCTGAGCTCTCTATTTGGTTCTATTTCTCTATGAGTCTGTATTCATACCAGTTCCATGTTGTTTTGGTTACTGGAGCCTTGTAGTATGGTTTGAAGTCAGGTAATGTGATGCCTCCAACTTTGTTCTTTTGCCTAAGGATTGTTTGGCTATTTGGGCTCTTCTTTGTTTCCATATGAATTTTAGAATTTTTTTTTCTAGTTGTGTGATGAATGTTATTGATAGCTTGATAGGAACAGCATTTTATCTGTGCATTGCTCTGGGTAGTATGGACATTTTGGCAATATTGATTCTTCCTATCCATGAGCATGGAATGCTTTTCCATTTGTTTATGTCATCTCTGATTTCTTTTAGCAGTGTTTTGTAATTCTTGTTGGAGATGTCTTTCCACCACCCTGGTTAGCTGTATTCCTTGGTATTTTATCTCTTTGTGTCTATTGTGAAGTCAATTGCATTCTTGATTTGGCACTCAGCTTGGGAATTATTGGTGTATGAAAATGTGACTAATTTTTGTACTTTTTTTTAATCTTGAAATTTTCCTGAAGTTAGTTATCAGATCTAGGAGTTTTGGGCAGAGACTATGGGGTTTTCTAGGGATAAAGTCATATTGTTTGCAAACAGAGATCACTGGACTTTCTCTCTTCTGATTTGGAAGCGTTTTTATTTCCTTCTCTTGCCTGATTATGCTGGCTGAGACTTCTAGTACTATATTGAATAGGAGTGGCGAGAGAGGGCATCTTTGTCTTGTTCTGGTTCTCAAGGGAAATGCTCGCAGCTTTTGACCATTCCGTGTGATGTTGGCTGTGGGTTTGTAATAGATGGCTCTTATTATTTTGAGGTATGTTCCTTCAATTCTTAGTTTGCTGAGGATTTTTAGCATGAAGCTGTGCCGAATCTTACCAAAAGCCTTTTCGGTATCTATTATCTACAGTTTTTGTTCTTAGTTCTGTTTACGTGATGAGTCACATTTATTAATTTGTGTATGTTGAACCAACCTGGCATCCCAGGGATAAAGCCTACTTGATCACGGTGAATTAGCTTTTAGATATGCAGCTGAATTTGGTTTGCTAGTATTTTGTTGAGGATATTTGCATAGATATTCATCAAGGATATTGGCTTGAAGTTTCCTTTTTTGCTGTTGTTGAGTCTTTGCCAGGTTTTGGTAACAGGATGATGCTGGCATTGTAGAATGAGTTAGAGTGAAGTCCCTCTCATCAGTTTTTTTGTAACAGTTTCAGTAGGAATAGTACTGGCTCTTCTTTATATGTCTGGCAGAATTTGGCCATGAATCAATCTGGTCCTGGGTTTTTACTTGTTGGTAGGATTTTTATTACTTATTCAATTTAGGAACTCATAATTTCTCTGTTCAGAGCTTGATTTTTTTCCTGGTTCACTTTTGGGAGGTTGTATAATTCTAATATCCTCTATTTCTAACATGATCCTCCTCATGTTAAGGAAAGCCATCTACTTCTAATGACTTTATTTGTATCCGGAGCTGACTGGAGTCGGAAGTAAGGAAGAATAGCAAAGATGATATGAAAATAGCTGTTAGCATTTGTGAGATGTTAGCATTTGTGAGCTATGTATTCATGGCTTGTAGATGTGCCATAAAACTATCTTAGTATTCTATTTCTCTACGGTTAACATCTGCAGAAAAAAAAAAACAAACTTCACCATCTAGTGGTAGAAACCTTAAACTGCAGATATACATTCACCATTCCCTTATTCTTTATTCCACTTAATAGCTATTTATTGACCGATCACCCACTTATTATGTGCCAATAATTGACCCAGACAAACCTCTGTTCTTCTTTAGTCCCTCATGTATTGATCACTTTCTATGGGTTGATCATGTTATTTGGAGCTTTGACGCTTGCAGTTTGGTGTTGACAGTTTTAGGTAAACAGACCCATGGGAGTTCAGGTTTTTTTGGTGCAAAGGGCAAATGCTGGCATCTCTGGGCCTCATACAACTTGCTGTTTTGGCCTGATCACTAAGTATTAAAAATGTAAACAAGCTGGGAAGATTTAGAACTTAGAGGATTTCACACATGCCTGCATACACACCCCACAAGGACTTGAGGATTCTCTGGGACAGTCACGAGATCTGGCTGCTGCTCTTGCTGGTATTCTTACATTTCGGCAATTGGCTGGAGCTGAAGAACAGCTGCCTCTTGACACGGCTACTCTGTCAGACCCACATTGGCTGCTCCATCCACTCACTTATTTCAGTTTGATGTCTTTTTTGAGATATCCAGACATTTGCTGGATTTTGATTCTCCATGTTTATTCCTAAGGAAACATATAGCCAAATCTCTCCAATCTTTCTTCCAATGAAGCCCAGTTTCCAGAAGAAGTAATTATAACTGCACAATTATCAAAGGGATAATATACTTTAACCCTGAGATAGATTAAGGGCCATTTATTTGTCTGGGTTTCTGTTACTGTGAAAAATAATCTTTTTGCTCAATGTCCTACACTTGGTTACTTCCCCTTTCTCCTTGCTTGGTAAAACAGAAGGCTCTTTTAGAGATTTTGACTGTTTCTCCTTATTATTTATCCAACAGATATTTAATGAGCACTTCCTAAGTGCTCATACCTCTGCTTCATGCAGGACATGTATCTGAGAAGGAGACGGACATGGCCCTAATGGTGCTAGTGATGTGGCTGTTATGAAAGATGATGATGTCATGGGAACATACAGAAGGAACACGGTACCTAACATGGAGATGAGAATAGGATCAAGGGGATGTTCCTGGAGAAATTTAATGTTGAAGCTTAGACCTTGAGATCGGTAGTAATTTGCCAAGGAGGGAGAATCCTGCACAAATGCCCAGGATTCAAGAGAGTTGTGGGGCATGGAAAGGAACTGAATAGTGTCCTTGAGTTCTGCTGAGGAGCATAGACTTTATCCGGAGAGTCAAGAGGAGAAAAGAGAGCTTATGAGCAAGGGAGTGAATAGTTAGGTCTGTGTTTTTAGAACATCACTCCATCTCTTAAAACTTATTTTGGGTCGGGTGCAGTGGCTCAAGCCTGTAATCCCAGCACTTTGGGAGGCCGAGGCGGGTGGCTCATGAGGTCAAGAGATCGAGACCATCCTGGTCAACATGGTGAAACCCCGTCTCTACTAAAAATACAAAAAGTTAGCTGGGCATGGTGGTGCGTGCCTGTAATCCCAGCTACTCAGGAGGCTGAGGCAGGAGAATTGACTGAACCCAGGAGGCGAAGGTTGCGGTGAGCCGAGATCGTGCCATTGCACTCCAGCCTGGGTAACAAGAGCGAAACTCTGTCTCAAAAAAAAAAAAAAAAAAAAAAAAACTTATTTTAAGGCCAGGTGTGGTGGCTCATGCCTATAATCCCAGCACTTTGGGAGGCCGAGGCGGGAGAATCACAAGGTCAAGAAATCGAGACCATCCTGGCCAACATGATGAAACCCCGTCTCTACTAAAAATACAAAAAAATTAGCTGGGTGTGGTGGTACGCACCTGTAGTCCCAGCTACTCAGGAGGCTGAGGCAGGAGAATTGCTTGAACCCGGGAGGCGGAGGTTGCAGTGAGCCGAGGTCACACCACTGCCCTCCAGCCTGGCGCCTGGTGACAGAATGAGACTCTGTCTCAAAAAATAATAATAATAACTTATTTTAAGAGACTTGGCTGAGAGCTAGGGCTCTGATCCCTTTAGACATTTTCTAGTTCAGTTTTATAAGGGACAAGTTTGTTGTGAAGGACTCCAGGAGAGGCACCTTCAACATCCACTCTGCTGGCTGTTGCCCCGCCCCTGGGGCCTCTCTTGTTTTGCCCTTTAGATTCTTATTTTTGCTCTACTTTCCTTGTAAATATCTCTGTTTTCTCTGTAGTTCCCTCATCGCTTTCCACGTAATGCAGGCATCTTCCTGGAGCTGCTGAGGGTTTCTGGTTGCCGGGAGAACCACAGTGACAATGTCATGAACTCCCCCACCCATCCCAGGGAGCCCTTCGATCAAAAAGTCAGCTTCAAAGCCTAGTTGGAAGTAGTCAATGCAAAGCCAAAAGTCAACAAACATTTCTCCAGAGTCTTGGCACCAGAAGGTCT